GACAGCTGCTGGAGAGGGGGGGGCCACCCACCCCCGGATATTTGAGACACAGATAGGAGGTGGCCGGTATCTAAAAATGCCGCCGGCAGCTGTCGGTGGCCGGGAGGGGAGGGAGGAGGCTGTGGGGGCACCCCAGGGGTGTGGGGAGCCGGGGTGGGGGCTCCCCCATGGGCAGCACCCCCACCGGGACCACCACCCCCCCACCCTGGGCATCCTGGAAGCCACTGGGAGCACTGGGAGCCCTCTGTCAGCGGGGCACGGTGCAGGTTTTGGGGTGGGGGGGGGAAGCCCAGGGGTGTCACCCCAGGAGCGGTGACACCCCGCCGGCCCCCGGGGGACCCCGGGAGAGCTTTATCGGGGCACCCAGGGCTGGGCTGGGCCCCGGCCCCACACCCTAATCGCCCCCGTGCAGGCAGGGCCGTGCCAGCCAGCTGGCTGGTGTGCCAGAGCGTGCAAAAGCACACACACGTGTGAGCAAGGACATGCAGGAGCGTGCGAGAGCATGCAGGAGTGAGCAAGGACATGCAGGAGTGTGCCAGAGTGTGCAAGGACATGCAGGAGTGAGCAAGGACATGCAGGAGTGTGTCAGAGTGTGCAAGGACGTGAAGGAATGTGCAAGAGGATGCATGTGCAAGCAAGGACATGTAGGAGTGTGCCAGAGCGTGCAGGAGTGAGCAAGGACACGTAGGAGTGTGCAAGGATGTGAAGGAATGTGCAAGAGGATGCACGTGCAAGCAAGGACATGTAAAAGTGTGCCAGAGCGTGCAAGGATGTGTAGGAACATGCAAAAGGATGCACGTGTGTGCAAGGACACGCAGGAGCGCACAAGAGCATGCAGAAGTGAGCAAGGACATGTAGGAGTGTGCCAGAGCGTGCAAGGATGCATGGGAGAGCGTGCAAAAGCACACACATGTGTGAGCAAGGACGTGCAGGAGCAATGGGATGGAAATGGGATGGGTCCCCAAGGTCCCCAGCTGGATGGGATGGGATGGAGATGGGACGGGTCCCCAGGGTCCCCAGCTAGATGGGATGGGGACAGGATAGGTCCTCAGGGTCCCCAGCTGGATGGGATGGGATTGGATGGGATGGGATGTGTCCCCAGGGTCCCCAGCTGGATGGGATGAGATGGGATGGGATGGGATGGGATGGGATGGATGCCCAGCTGGATGGCATGTCACGGGTCCCAGGATCCTCAACAGGATGGAAGTCCTACCAGAAGCTCTCCTGACAGCACCTCCAGCAGCTTGATGAGCACCCGCCCGTCCCGGAGGTCCATGTAGAGGTCCGAGATGCGGCAGGTGACGCGCGCCAAGTGCGAATTCACCCACTTGGTGAAGGTCTTCTTCTGCACCGCCTCCCGCTCGTCTGCAACGGAGAGAGAACGGTGGCAACGGTGGCACCGGCGGCTGGGCCAACCCCGGGGGGGGGGGGGGGGGGGCCCCCGGGGGGGGGGACGGGGGGGACCGCCCCCCCGGGGGTCCCCGGTGGAAGGGAAGGGGGGGGGGACACCCTGCGGGA